TCCTCCCCCCTCCCCCCAGGAAAAATAATTCATACTGGTTAAAATCATTACAAAAAAAAAACCACATTGTTTTATTTTCATGCATCTAAGGTAAAACACAGAATATCTGTATAAAGAGGTAGATTTAAAAAAGAAAAACAGATTCTCCATTCTTTGTCACTTTTATTCAGTAGTTTTCTTTCCTTATTTTTTTGTTTTTGGTGCCAGACACGGCAAGGAGTGATTACAGTCAACTGTTTATTAAAACATTTGTTCGCAACACAGACCCCCTTTACCACTGACCCCAAACTGACCCAATTTCATGTGCTTTGTTTTGTTTTTGCCTATACACCACCACCAGGGCTGGGTGGAGGGGGATGAAAGGGAAAAAAGGGGAATCCAGGAGGTCAGAAGGAGGAATGCTACAAGCCACAGCAAGAATGAGCTGTATTTAATAAAAAAGGGCCACAAATGATACAGTAATGAGGTTACACAATTAAATCCCATAGCATGACTGAAGGCTTTCCCTGTGTTTGACTTGATCACAATGGAAGGCATAAAAAGTGGAGTAAACCAATGTTGATACAGTCCAATCTAGTCCATTAGGCAAGATGGTGCAAGTAGTCATTAAATTACAAAGTGCCCTACCTTCACCTAAATGGCTAGCAGACATGGAGAAAAACAGTGATGGATCAACAGAGCTTCCTCCATGTAGCTATCAAAATGTGTTGTCATATGGCACATTTTTAAACACTGGAAAGGGGTGCCACAATGGACCTCTCTCATTCTTTCGTTTACAGGTACAAATGCTAGATTCAACTATCTCAACTATGCAGGAAGTGGACTCTTCTGTTAGGAATGCCAACCCTAATTCATCTTGTCCTGAAATATATACAAGTTGTTTGTAGTAGCTACAGCAATGATATTTTCCTTGGGATGCCAGGCTGTATGGAGTATCTTCTTGTTGAAGTCTAGGCTGTCAACACTAATTTCATCCTTCTTCCGTTTGCCACTTGCACAGACTTTGCGCGGCTTCAAAACAGTACGGGGTTTATTGTTTTCCCGTGATGCTTCTAAGGTGATGTCTCGCTTTGTGTTTCTGTCAAACATTCTGAAGAAGTTGTTGTATGATCCCGTCATGACAACGCTATCAATGAGGGAGGAAAAATAACAATTAAGAAAGGAACAATGGCAAGGGGGAAGGATTGTATTACAATATCACCAGAAGCCCCAGCTGGAACTGGGTTTCCACATGCAAAGAGAAAAGGGTATCTAGCTCCAACAGCTTACACTCCAAATAGAGAAGGCAAGTGGCTACCATGTGATCCACCAAGGAGAGTTTGACAAAGCTGGGAACTTAATAGCTTATCTCCCCAACTCCTAGTCCAACACCTTAACCCCAAGAACACAAAATACTGCCTTCCCATCCCATGTTCTGGCCATTTTGCCACTTCTGGGCTTCCAGCAATAAGGAAACAAGCACTGATCATTGTGGGCCTGCTTCTGTAAGAGTCACCATCTTACAATACTAAAGTCTTAGCCTTGAATCAAATTCCACTTGCCCAAAAGGCTATTTAAGAACACCCCTCCCCCTGAAAAAACCAACAAAACTATAGGTAGAGTGCAAATTTGAACCCACAACCAATCATTAATTTAATTTCTTGCTCTTGCTGTGTAATTCTGTCACTGACTTATGAAGTAACTATACCATTTAGAAGAATACAAAACTCTAGTTGTACCAAAATGTTTCCTAACCAATTAGCATTCCATATTCCTAGCCCCACACAAATCACCATGTCAGCAAAACATTAACCAATTTCTAAAAATGTAACCAGCATTTAAATGCAATACTGCCTTGCTGCTCAATCAAAAGATGACTTGTTCCATACTTTGGGACCCAAATATTGAGTGGCTGTGGACCAATTCTATGAGGTGGCTCCACACATCACAAAAAACTTGGCCCCTAAGGCAACCCAAAACCAGGTGGCTAGAATTGCTCAAGTTTGGAAACTAACTTCTCCCCATTTTCCAACATAACCTCTTAGGGGAAAGCCATCTGAAGGTCTTCTCACTGAAACATCTGAGATTTTTAACAAAGAAAACAAATTTAAAAGATACCCAGGATATTTGGTAATGAGATACTCTGTTAATGGCATCACACATACGGGATACAGTGAGCTGGCTCCCATTTTACAAAAGAGCAGTTAAAGCACAAATAGTACTCAAATAACTGCTGTATTCTCAGTGGTATAACTGGGTGGTTAGCCAGCCTTAGGAAAGTAAGCTTGAAAATTCATGAAGAGGTAGAATTCCTAGAGGTCTCTGTTTACTTTTCTCTTCTGACAAAAAGACAGATTTTAAATAAAAAACCCAGCATAGCTCCCAAAATATACTCTGTGTCCTGTAGAACAAAATACGCCCCCCCACTGTGAAGAAATTCAAGAGTTCAACCAACAATTGGTCTGCACAGGCAAACTTTCACTCCCATGGAGATCAGATTGCAAGACTGGGGCCTATATGAAGACACAGTATGAACACAAAAGACAAAACCAGAAAGGAAAGTTCATTATTAGGAACAAGTATACATAACTTTAGCTTTTAAATCTGCAAAACAGAAGTGTCTGTATTTGGACTTCCTCGTGTCAGAAGGGAAATGTAGCCCCTACTTACCCTCAAAGCTACAAAAGTTTCAATATGTACTTAAAAAAAAAAAAAGTTACACTTGCCTATCTGATCCATTCCAACAGCACTCAAATTTGTCAAAAATGCAGTCATTCTCATACAGTGAACAAAGTTTACTTCTGAGGTATTCATGCACCTGGAGGAAAAACAACAAGCACACCAACACAAAAGCTTCAATCAGATGTATTCAATATCTATTTTCAAGAACATGATTTTTTCTATCAATGTTACTAAGTAATCTTAAGGAGTTATGAATTTAGGTCTCTCACTTGGCATTGTGAGCTACCTCATGAATGAGATGTCAAAGCACCTTCTGAGTTCCATGTTCAGGAGTAAGTGCATTTTACATGTCCAAGAGTTCTAGTTTTTTGTATGTCTTTTTACATGTCCAAACACCAGTCCTGACCCTACAGTCATACTGCAAGGAAAAAAACTGTGCATCTCTATATAAATATGGGGATATCTGTATGCCAAGTTCCAACTGCTGCGTAGTGGCCATATGCAACACACTAGATTATTTCAGAGTTTGCAATACCATCGTATGAAACAGAATACCTGGTATGTTTCCACAGGTCTGTTTTCCATATTTAAATCCCAGATCTTAACTGACAGATAATCTCTAGTCATCATATATCGACCGCTGTGGCTGAATTTGACATCAGATATGGAAGAGATGATTTCAGAGAAAAAAGATCTGTTGCTAGGGTCTTCTGGTTCTTCAAACACTGGTAGGAAGAAACAGGCACGATGAGTGGCACAATACATCTTCTCTAAAATGTTATGCGCCATGCAATGTGGAACATCAACAAAAACGAACTGGTATATGCATATTGGAAACATCTGAAATGGTTTTGGGTCAGTATTTTAAATGAATCGACTGATGAGTAATCTCCCATTTCCCAATAAAGCATACCCCTAGTTTTAGATGGCCTGCTTGGTAACACAGGAGGTGCTGCTAAATGGCCAGATGAACAGAACTGATCACCATAAAGTATGCCGCCACAAAGACATCTTAAATGTGTATAACAGCTATGTACAGCATTTACTACTTTTATTTGTGGTAAATAATAGTGTGATATCAAGAATCAGCAAGTAATTGTGTGATATCAACAATGCTTGATACATTAAGACATTAGATGTAAGATTGCTGGACTACTGAAATCCATCTCTTAACAAGTATAGGATGGATGTCCCTTCCAATCCAGGGTATACCCAACAAAAGTGATTAGATGCTTATAATGCAGTGGCTGTAACAAGCAAAATAGCTTGGTGCCATCATGGGCACTCTCTCACAACAGTAAAGTTCTGCAAATGTACTGGCTATCCTGAAGCAAACATTTATTGGAAAAGAGGCACTTACAGATCAGGCCCAAATACAATATCCAGGATGGGGCTGAAATTTGCACGCAAAGTCTCTAGCATCAATTATGGATTGGAGTTGGAACTGAACGAGAAGTTCATAAGCTAAAGGATGCATTAAGCTAGTTCTAAACCTCTCAGCCAGCCCCCATGACATTTATATTACTTTAACATATTTCTGTTTTTGCTCAATTAGAAAGGTAACCCTCCAACACCTCATTCATTTAAAACCCTCCAAGGTTTTAAATGAATTTTCTCAAGTTCATTAAACAAGCAATTTATTAATAGAGCTTTAGTTTACTGTAATTGATGCTTAGCTTCCTTTAGCAGCGAGATGCTAAGCACTTAAAAAGGAAAAGGAAATAAAAATCACCAACGATGGCAAGTAAAACTCACATTTTGAATGTCTGTCACAGAGTGCTGATGCTCTCATGTCACACAGACGGATTGTTCCTTTACTGCTGCTGTATACAAATGTGTTACAGCTATTTGGGTGGAACTCAGCAGCTGTTATGACCTCTGTCAGTTCTTCCATATTGGCAGGCTTTATATCTACAATATCTAGAAAGCATTCATTAAGGTATGTTCTCGTCAATTGTTTAGAATAGTATATACATATATAGATGAAAAATGTAAGTAACCAAGAGAAAGAGAGTGACTGAAACCTGGAAACAGGAACCTGGGTTCTGTCCCCAAGATGAGCCAGAGACACCTTATGTGACTTTGAACAGTTCACAATCTCCATGTCTATTTAAAGTATTCAAGAGTGTTATTCTAATGGTCTGTAAAACTTAGTCTATAAACACAAACAGCAACATGAACAGTCCCTTTAAAATTACTCCTCTATTAGCTAGGGAACAGTAGCAAACAAACATGCTTTTAATACATAAGCTAAATGCTGAGTCAAATTTCAGCAATCTAAACAAATCATTTGAAGTACATCTATTGTTTCATTTTTACTCTGCAGAATATTATGTTGCCTTCTATCACTTCTACACACACCAGCTTGTGGGAAAGCTAGTGCTTTCCCACACGAATTTGAAGTTCAGCAATTTCCTGCTCCCTTCCCACCCTAGGACCTCTGTGACCTGTAATTTGACCAATCCCTGCTCCCTATTAAAGGGGGATGAATATACTTCATTAATGCAGTTAAGTAATTATGCAAACTATGCACTTATCTGAAATCCATTTACAGTAGAGTATCCTATAATCAACCTGAATCCAATACTCATGTTGCCCCAATATGATCTTCTGTTATCAAAATTCCTGCAGCAATAATCCTTATAAATATTAGTGAGAATTACGTAAAAAATAGAAAAGTGTTAAATACATACAAACACTTAAAGAGAAAACAAGAAAATTAACAACCTCTGCTTCAATCAAAAGTGGTAAATAAAAAAAAAAAAATGGTGAAAAAGATACTAAAACTTCTGTCTGTTATTTCTAGGTGCCAGAGATTAATCCGCAAGTCATCTGCAGATAGGTATGTTTCATAATCACTATTAATGGAGATGGAGTTGATGTGATACGTGTGAGCATTGGCAAATATCCTTCGTGGACTGGCTTCGACCATAAGATCCATGGGCCTGAATACTGGCACCTGTAATATATGAAAGAAGGCAAAAATACAAGCTCTGTATACAATAGAAATAAATGTTCATGGACATGACTGTTCTTACAGTGTACCATGAAACTACACAAGGCTAACCAACAAGGGTGATGATTCCTGGAGGGGCTTCAAGGTCCCCTGCATGACAGGCATACCACACAATACACAGGACATCACAGAAAAATGTTCACGTTATTTGTCTAGTGATGGCTGGGACAGGGATCCAGATATTTTGAGTTCTGTTCCCTGCTGAGCTGTAGACTTACCTTAGCCCAGGGGTGGACAAAATAAAGCCTGTGGGCCATATCTGGCCCACCAGGCCATTCAATCCGGCCTGTGGGGTCCCTAAAAATTTAGAAAATTACTATTAATCTGCCCCTGGCTGCCTATCAAAAGGTGACAGGAACCAGGGACAGTAGGATTCAGGGAAAGCCACCGCAGGAACCTGCAACAGCATGGCCCCCCCTGCCCTACCCCCACCCCAGCCAGAAGCCCCTGCCTAGCAGAGGCTTCCTGCCTGGGACCATGGGGCTGTTCATGCCTCCCTGCGCTGGGGTGGGAAATTCAGGTAAGAGTGGGGAGTGAGGGGGAGGCAAGAGGAGGAGGGGAGAACTGTGGGCAATCGCCCCAGTCCTTGGGGCCTGCGCCAGCTCCTGCCGAGTCCTGAGGTCCAGCCATGCAGCTAGAAACCATGTGGTGCAGCAGGAGAAGGAGGCAGGTGGGCAGGAAAGTGGGGAAAGCGGCAGTGGGGGGGAATGGCAGCAGATAGGTGTGCAGGAGCATGGGGCCCATATTGGTGTCCCAAGGCCAGCACTGGCAGGGCCCAGAGCAGGGAGGCAGGAGCATGGCCTGGCAGGGATCTATGGAACTGGGCTGGGCTGTACCAGAGAGGAGAGAGGAGAGCTGATGCAGCTCCACAGAGCCCCTGCCAGCTGGGACCCTGTGCTCCTGCCGCCCCTCTCGGGGCCCCACCAGCACTGGCCCCAGTGCACCAGCAGGGGCCTCGTGCTGCCATCTGGCTGTCACTGGCTTCCGCCTGCCCCAGTCCCACAGTACAGGCAGGGACCAACGCACACAGCCCCGACCCTGCGCTCGTCCATCTGGGCTGAGACGCGGCAGCGTGTGACACACTGCTGTTTAGCATAGGGGAAGTGCCCCTCCCCCAGCCAAGCCCAGCCCCTGGCTTGTTTACTTTTCATTCCATCCAGAAAGAGCACACACCAACTGCTGAAACTTCCTGAGCCTGACGAAGGGTTTTTGAACCGGAAAGCTTGCTTAATAACTATTCTCCAACCATTTGGGTTGGTCTAATAAAATATATCAAATTCACCAAGGAACCTTGTCTGCCTGTCCTTAGACCAACACGGCTACAACCTAAACCCCTCCCCCTCCCGGCACTTTCTGGTGCAGCTGCTGATAGCCTGCGTGGGGCTCTCCTGTGTCTCCACCATGTCATAACTGCCTCTGGGCAACCCCATCAGGGCAGCCCGGACAGCCCTATGCAGACTCCAAGCGGCTGTGCCAGGAAGCACCGGCAGTGGGAGGGGATGCTTTCCCCCCTGCACTGAGCAGCAGTTTGTCCCATGCTGCCTAGTGCTCGCCAGCACCAGGCTCGCCCACTGGGACTGAGCAGCAGCAACAGCAGCTGGGCAGAAACTGCTGCTCCACACAGTGGAAAGCAGCCCCTCCCTCTTGCCATCGTCGGGCAGTTTTGGCTGCAGCTGCCACTGAAGGCTGCAGTGCAGCTCCTTCACCTCCAGTCACTGCTGCCATGCTGGGCAGCCCAGAGGTGGCGGTAAAGGAACTGCAGGGCAGGCTGGCACAGCACAGGCTCCAGGCAGCCGCAGCAAAAACTGTCAGGTGGCAGCAAGAGGCCAGGTTCACTTTCCATTGGACCGAGCAACAGTTTCTGCCCAGCTGCTGCTACTCAGCCCCAACGGGCAAGCCTGGAGCTGGCACAGAGCGCACAGGGTTGTGGCTGCACGCGCTGGTTCCCGCCACTACCACTGCATGCCCGGGGCAGCAGGACACTCCACAGCAGGCTGGTGCAGAGCAAGTGTGGGGTGCGCTAGGGATATGCACTGTTGGCGTTAGCAGGGAAGTGCCAGGGCACCCAGGCTCTGGGATGTTGCAGGGTGGGGGTGGGTACTGACCGGCTCAGGGGGGTGCATGCAAGGGGGCTCCCATGCACACCCCACATACCCTCAACCCTTCCCCGCAAATCCCATAGCCACACCCTCCCCCATATACAATCACATACCCCACAAATACCATACATACCACATCCAACACAGCCCCACAAAATCCACACCCACCCACCCATACCCCCCACACACTATACAACAGTAAGACTGCATTTTGAGCTATTATGCAATCCCTTCTACATATACAGCACAATCACACACAAATCAGGACAACAATATTTTTTTCAAATTAAATAAAATATATTATTATGGGTGTTTGATTTTTAATATATAATTTGGTGGAGGTTTTTTCTGGTTCTGAAATGGCAAACCCTCTTCCCCAAAGGAGTACTTCCTTTGGGGAGGGACTTCTGGTGGCAAAGGTAAGAGGTTAGAAGGTGGGAATTCTGGTCCCAAGATGGCAACCTGGGGGTGGGGCACCTGTCAAGGGGTAGGGCTACCCATCTGGCCCTCCACAGCTTGCCAAAACTTGGTAAGCAGCCCTCCAACCAAAATAATTGCTTACCCCTGCCTTAGCCACTTACCTCAGTCTGCCTCAGGTTCCAAACACTACAATATGGCTAATCGTTAGCTGTCCTGGCAGGGGGAGACGAAGCCACAGAAGCTTCTGAGAGCTAAAAAAACCAACAACAAATACACCCAAACTACTTACCCGTAGTGTTGTAACCGTAGTGGGGTCCCTATATCGTCCATCCTCTTCCTTCAAGTTATAGCCCTCTGGTCTTTTGTCCCTTTCACTGATTTTCCATAACTTTATTGTTTTATCTGAAGTTAAAGCATTGTTCAAAATTAAAACAAAGGATCTAGATGCCACTGCCTGTTCACAACCATTGTTTTTAGGCTACTAATATTCATACTCCAAGTGTCTAAAGTTACCTTGCCCACCTAAAGAAGAGCATAAAGATAGTGCTTCAAGGTGCATATTTATCAGATTTGAATGATACCTCAGTTTGCAGTTAACGCTCAAGTGAACTGGTTAAGTAAAAAATATGCTCAAAAATGGGTCTAAACACTTTTTATACCAGTCTAGCTATTTTACTGTGTATTAGTGTCATCACATGGGTTTTTACGTGACACTAACGCACAGTAAAAATAAGCTACTGTGCATTAAAATGCACATATAGATGCACCCTTTTACAGTTAAAAGTGTAATCAAAACAGCCTAAGTTTCACATGGCTCCAGTTATATTAGTGCAAAAATGCACTCTGTCAACATAGCTCTTTCCCACTCCTGTACAGGAATAGCATAAAGGTGCTATACAGGAGTTTGGTTATCAGAACTACATCTAAGTGAGAGGATGGGAGGCACTGCTTTAAATGGTCCCATGTACAACTTGTGTATAGCAAAGTCCTTACACAGGCTTTGCAGGATTTTCTAAGCCTTTTAGAAATAAATCCTTCACACTAGTTCAATCCTCTCCACAAAATTTTGTTACTATTAAAAACCAATTCTGAATGCCTAGAGACAGTTAAGCCAAGCATAAATTAATTATGTGTAGACTAGACAAGGTTCCTTGGGTGAATTTGATATCTTTTATTAGACCAACCCAAATGGTTGGAGAATAGTTATTAAGCAAGCTTTCGGGTTCAAAAACCCTTCGTCAGGCTCAGGAAGCTGCAGCAGTTGGTGTGTGCTCTTCTGTGTGCGCTCTTATGTGTAGACTGATGTTTAATAATTGTCTTGCTTACTGACCTAAATTGATCTCAACAGGATCTGGCAGAAACTCTCCTCTTAACATAAAGCATCTGAAACTTAGACGGGAGTCATAATTTTTTAAGATTTTAAGTTAAAAAAAGCCACATTCGTGTTTGGGACAGCTGAACATGCTATAAAAGCAGAAAGGAGAAATAAATAGTAGGGCTTTGTATGGGGACATATAGAATGAACACTCATGGGTTCCATGTATACATTCTGAAGATTTTTTTTAAGTAAAAAAAACTTACCATTTGTAGATAATAAAAACTGAGCAGCATTTTTCTGGGGTAACCACCTAATTTTGTTGATTTTTTCTTCAATTTCTAAACTTTTCAAGTAGTCAAACTCTGGTTCATGGCTTTGAAAGGTACTGTAAACATTATATTCTCCTCTGCTGTGAGATTGGGTTTTGTTCTTTACAAGAAAAAAAAAAAAGGGCGACAGAGAGAAAAAAATTGTTTCAGAAAACTGGATGACCAAGATGCACAGCATGCACAATGGGTGCATCTACACAAGATGCTGTACTGTGGAGCTGACTAATTAGTTCCTCAGTAAAGAGTCACCATCTACACATGCAGTACTATTAAGCCACAGTAAACTAATTAACTCTGCTGTAGGATAGTGCTGCCTGACAAGTACTGTCCTACAGCAGAGTAGCTACATGTGGTCAAATGCACATGTAGACAGTGATGGGGCTGGGGCACAAGGATGTTACAGTGCGGAGGCTGCCTGCCAGCTAGCCCCACACTATAGCACCCTCATGCCCCAGCCAGCCCCTCCGCAGTATGTTCAGCCAGGGGAGAGCAGCTCCGGGCTGGCAGGCTGACCCCCCAGACCCTCTGCCAGCCAAGGCTGTGTTGCCCCAGCTTAGCATCCTATGGTTCTGGGTGCACATGTAAATGCTGTGCCAGGGAGCAATAAACTCTGGTGCGAACTACACCAGAGATTACTGTGTCACATTAATATGTGTAGACACAGCCAATGCGTACCAATATAACAGGTGAGGGTTAAACACAGAATGTACCTACACTGGGATCAGATGGTCAGACTATTTTTGTCTTTACCCATCTTTCTGTAGAGCCCCAGAGATCAGAGATATCCCATTTTTCCAAATCTGTGGAATGGATGCCATAAGATTTATCCACCTTAAAAGGCTTCTGAGACTCTCAGATTCAAGACCCTTACATGGGTAGCTAAAGCATTGTTGCTTTTGATGCTCCAGAAAGACAGTAAGGCTTGTAAAACTCTGACTTACCTGCCCCCTTCCCCCACCCCACACACACTTTTTATTCCCATTTACCTCCTCCATTTTTTGTTTCCAAGTAATCACTACCTATAATTTGAGAATAATCCTTTCAATCATCTGAATTACTAAATACACAGTTTATTAAAAAGTCAGCCTCCATGCCACTATAATAACTTGAAAATAAAACAAACTTCAAGATTACTTATGTGCAGAATGCTGGAAGTCCTTCAACATATACAAATACTTTAATACTTCTGTAACAGGACTAAAATCCCACCAAACCCCTACAGTTGGTCATTTCCTCGGAAACACAAAACCTACAAGACAGTAAACTATATACCCTGGGGAAGATCAGCCTGCTACATATAAGTTGCTGGAATGTCAAACACAACCACTGTATAAGCCAGAAGAGCAGATCTGTTTGTGTAAATTTGCTTCTCAGTTTCTTATTGGTCCCAATTCCCATTCTAAGGATTCTTTGCTCCCCTTTCATAAAGCTGCCCTAGAAAAAAAAATACAATAAGGCTTCTCCTACCTATAGCCTAAACAGGTTTACTATTTAAGTCAGAGATATGATTGAGAGCTGGTCAGGCCTCCTCTTACAGATGGTAAAGCCACTTGGAATAATGTGAAGCATCAAGTCTTATGCAGATTCTGCTCTCCCTGCTGAAAAATTCATGCCTCAGGCAGCAATTTCTTAAAGCTATTCTTGTATTGGAGGACCTTGTTCTTCAACTGCCATTGTGGGGATGGTAACCAGGGAGCAACTGGCACGGTTTCAAAAACAATCATTGTGTAGACCCTCATTCTTGTTGAAACTGCCCGAAGTTTTATTTTATTTTCTTACGTGCGTCTGTAATTCCACCCACTTCCAGAGGGTGCAACCACCCTACTCTTCTGCCAGCAGTTGACATATGCTTTTGGCATGATGAGCTCTTAAATGGTGAACTTGTTACTCCCTTCCTATCAAGCAACTCCACTGTTGCCCAGATTTTCCCCCTTTGCCTCACCCAAAAATACCTTCTAGAAGAATCATTGCTGGCCCCATAATTATTTCATTTTTGTAAAGCTTTCCTCATGTATGTCATGCTTATAATTTAAGGGAAGGCTGGACCTTTTTTTGATCAGACTATAACCACAAGCTTCAAAAGAAATACCTTAAAAATAAAATTTTACATCAGAGTATTGTGCCACACCTATAGTTTATTTTGGCTTTCATAGAAAGAAGGAACTTTGTGCTGTGTGTCAAGTGGATGAAGTATTCATTTCCTCTCTGGGGCTTCTGTCATGTTTGCTAGCTTTCATGTGATAAACAGATGCCACATTCCAACAGAGATAACAGCATTTCAGTGGGTACATGAGGTTACACAGGCATATGCAACTATATACAGGGATCATATACACTATACACATACAATCTGTAAAGCATTTTGGAATAACCTATGCTTACATGAACTAATAAAACAGTTCTTCTATAGATAACCTTTTCTTCTTTAGATTTATTATATACACATGTCCATGTGCACCAAGTAGCTCTAACCAAGGATGCCAGGTGTTATAGTGAGTTTTACTTTTTTTTTTTTTTTTTAAATCGATTTTCATGATGCATATGTATTGTATAAGTACATGCACTCAAACCTCTACTGTGAGTTTTGTGCTCCTGGCCATCTCACTGGTACCCAGAGTGCAATTCAGGAGCGCAAAGCAATTTATCTACAGTTGTTTTCAACCTTTTTTAACAAGTGTACCCCTTCTGTCTCAAAGTTTCAGCTCATGTACCCTTTATATTTAAATTGGGGGGGGGGGGAGGGCTGAGCATGTGCCCCCCCAGCAGGAAGTCTGTGGGGGAAGGGAAATGACTGGGGGGGGGCAGATGGAGGCCCCCCTGCAGTGAGGGAGGGAGTGGGACACAAAAAGTGGCAGGGGCCGGGGGGAATAGGGCCCCAGGTGGGCTGGGTCATGGGAAAAATTGGAGCTGGGCAATTCATCCAGGGGGCAGGGGGCTCTCACCACTGCACACATCCTGATGGAGGCCCAGGGGGCACATCCCCTGCCCCCCATCTGTGCACAGGGCAAAGGCAGCTGCCACTGCGCACTAGGCTTTGGACGCTACTGCAGCTGCCCCAGGAGTGATGCGATGCCATGTGCATCTCGCTGCCAGGCAGGCAGGGGGTGGTGCACGGTGCAGCCCAGCAGCAGGATGCACGTGACACTGCACTCCCCCCAGGGCAGCCGCAGTGGTGCAAAGCCCAGTGCGCAGCAGCAGCTGCCTCCACCCCATGCACAGATCGGGGGGGGAAGCACATGGCCCTCAGGCCTCCGCCAGGGTGCATGCAGCAGTGGGAGCCCCCTGCTAATGCCCTACGACCTTTTTAAGTACCCCTAGGGGTAGGCATACCCCCATTAACAACCACTGATCTATACTGTTCAAATAAAACTAAAGCGTTATTTCCATTCTACAGATGGGAGAAAGCAAGATAAAGGTGCAGACCAAATTATACCGAATTCAGCATCACCAGAGCCATAGTAAGCTGTGTGCGTCTACTTTGTCCCCATGGAAAGCAGAAGCTGAACCACGGCTGTATGCCCCTGAATGAAACAACTGCCAAGTTTAGCTCTCACTAGTGGACACATGAAACAGTTAAGACTAATCAACAAATGCATACTATGTTCCTTTAGCCCCCAACTCAGTGTAATTTGTCTATCTTAATGACTTGCCCAAGGCAAAGAGACAATCTGTGCAGAGCTGGGAGAGGTATTTAAATCTCCTGGGGCACAACCCAATTTCTTAATAAGCTAAAAGACAAGACCTTTTCTGGGACTCCTGATTTTCTGAGAGGGTGAGATCCTAATCCTACAAGCTCAGTTTTTCGAGTTTTCACTGCTTCACAGGCCCATGAATTCTAATGCAGCAAGACTCTGGCAGCAGCTGCTTAGAGCCGGGGCTGGCGGTGGGGTGATGAGCAAAATGGCCTTGCGTGCCATGCTTGGCATGCGTAATGGGGGTTGCTGACCCCTCCTCTAGGATGTTGTGTGCCAGACTGAGTTGGCCTCCCCTCCAATCACAGAGGGGCTGGGCTGCTCTAGGAACATGGGGTGAGGCAGCGTGATCGGTGGCAGGGTGTGCAAGGGTGCCCCTAGGGCCCAGCCACTGCCGCTGAGCTGCCTAGTGGGGCAGGAGGCTGTGGCAACCAAGGCTCTGGTGCCTACCAGGTGGGACTCACCCCCTAAGGAGCTGCAGGGAACAGGGAGCTGCTTCCCACCTTGGGCTGGGCATGCAACTTTGAAAATTTAAACTACTGCACAATCCCGCCCTCCCAAAACACCCCGAGAAAAATAAAAAAGGATTAAAATAAAAATTGATTTATCAAATTCTGCCACGCGTAAATATACTACTATACATCAAAAGATTACAGTATAGAACTATAGTAATCCACCATATAGTTGAGCTTCACCTTCTTAAGTAGGATCTCTGTTCAGTCCTTTAGCTAGGCAAGAAAAGGTCATGAGCAGACTGAAGTAAGGACATCCAAAACGTTATGTTATAAAGTCCAGGCAAACAAATGCTGCTATCTATGAAGTTTTTTGTCCCAAGTAAAAGTCAAGTAAACCCCACTAGATGGCAGCAACTGACCAAAGCGATTTATTTGCCAAAGACAATTTCAGATGTTGAACAAAAGTAAGCTGTCATAGGCCAGGTGTGCACCACTATGGATGCCACTATAAAAGTGACACAGACAGCTTCTGTGTGCAACATGCAGATCGGGGAGGGGAGACGGACAGCTAGGACAGAAAACAGAAAGCAAAGCAGCAAATTGGGCAGGGAGCACAGGGAAGGAAGCAGAGCAACAGATCAGGCAGGGAAAAGAGACTGGAGTGGTACTTAGGGAGGGTGCAGAGCTAATTTGTGGCACACCTGCCAAAAAGGTTGGCCCTGCACTGTTATAGTCTGTGGGCTAAATCCTCTAGGGAAGTGATATTTTTGTGAGTTAGAAGTTTTAGAACTAAACAGAGCAAAAGTA